AGGGGGTTGGCGTCCACCCCGCATGAAATCGGACCACGATGGAAGATCTCCTTCATCATGGCGTCAGCGCCGGAGATGGAGCCGTAGTCCGAGATTGTCGCATTGGGGAATTCACCAAGGCCGGTGCAAGGCCCACCCTCCTGGGAGAAGCTTCCACAGGTCCTGGCCACGTTCGCTGCCTTGCAGGACGTGTCGACGTATTTGCAGAAGCCCTCATCGGAGTCCGAGGTGCAGGCAACGTAAGGATTGGCGGTCTCGTAGCTGATCCCGGTACCCTTCTTGGAAATCTCCATGAGCCATTGGTACGGACCGTCGACACTGCCGCCCTTGCATGTGCCCACACCTCCGCAGTTCAGCAGGTGCTGAACTGCAAGGTTGATATCGACTCCTTGCGCTTGGCGTGCGATCTTGATGCGGTCACCGAGGGCGGAGATAGCGCCGTGGGCCCAGCATGATCCACAGTACTGAGGGATATGCTGATTCCGCGACATGGTGCAGTAGCTTTTGCCATCCTTGTTGCACCAGCTGAAATCCGAGGGGAACTCCGTTGCCTCAAGCAGGTCGTGAGAGCTTTGATGGGTCGTGGCATTGCCACGCCATACTACGCCAAGCTTCTCGACCTCGGCGCGCGGAAGCAACTCAGAGCGATGGCGACGATCCGTCTGAGCTGCGGCAACGCTGAAGCCCAGAATTGCGATGGCGCTCGAGAACTTCATGATGCTTCCCTCGAGGCTACGTCAAAGTCACAAGCAGGCTTTCTCACTCGAGCCGTAAAGCCATTGAGTTTAATCGAGGTTCAGGGTTCAGGATCTTCAGGGGTATAGGGTATAGGGTTTGGGAGATGGGATCTCCATCAAAGCATGGTCCGGGACGACAAGGTCTCAAGACATCCTCAGTCTGAACATGCCACGGCCTCCGCTTTCATCTAAAGCCGTTTGCAGCATAGTTTCAGCTTCCAAGAGGGGTGGAGGCACGAGCTCGGCACCCCCAACCCGATTGTGGCCGATCCCGAGCCGAATCGTCACGGCACTACACGCAGCACGACCTCGCGCGACCAAAACGCCAAGATGCTTCCCCAATGCACTGGCGGTATACCGATATGACCTACATGTTTTCCCAAATGCTGCAGAGTTCAGACATTTCGATGATAAACTCAAGTTCGCCGTGAGCGAGAACGTGCAACTGCAAGGATGCAACGTATATGAAAAGCTGGTGCGTAGCCAGTGCAGTATACATGTAAGCAACAATCCCGGGCATGTAACGCATGCACAAAGATCCAGATCAACGGGCGGATGCGTGACTGCAGATGCTGCACCCCATGCTTGTACGAGCGCACGTATGAATGTCAGCATACTCGGGAAGCAACCCCCTTCCTGAAATCCTAAAGTCCTAAAGGCCTACAGCTGGCATACACAACACATCCGCCGAGAAAACCCTGCCCTGCTTGCTGAAAAGGCACTGAGGCAAACCCCTGCAAGGGCGGCCGGGCGTGGCCGCAGCAGTGTCGCCTCATGAACTTCGAAGTAAACCTGCTCCTGCAAAGCCGTTGGATATAGCGTTTGGATGCGTTTGGTGGGCTTCGTTCGGATTTCCGGCATGCCGGAATTTCGGTTCAAGGACTACTCCTGGCTTGAGGATCACCGATCTTCCACAGATCGATGCTAGGGACATACTATTGTATTATCAGCATCAAAGGAAATCAAACCTTACAGACCGACGCTCACAAGCATACACAGACTTGCAGACATACCTAGCCACCTCCATACATATGTCCATCCATCCATGCATGCATTGAGCAAGTGTCCTGACAGGCCTCCCAACGCTCGTCGTGAAGAAGCAGCCTAGCAACAGTGTAGCTAGGAATAATAACTATAGCTGTACAGATACACAGCTTTTTGAGGCGGCTTCTTCCACATGTAACCAAACCCCCCTTTATTAACGACCCCCTAATATTAAAACCACGTCGGGCCCAATCCTCTCGAAATCATCCCTGCCCTTCAAAAGCATAATTTGCATTAGGAGGTCCGCAGTAAGAGCAGGAGTAAGAGCGCGAGCAGGAGCAAAAGCAAAAGCAAGAGGATGAGCAGAAGCAATGGCAAGAGCAAAAGCAAGCGCAGGAGCGAGAGCAAGAGATGCAGCAGGAGCAAGAGCAAGATGCCTCAGAAGTGACAGTAGAAACACAACGAAACTTTTTGAGTTTTTATTGGGGGGAGGGGCCCCCCTCCCCCGCTTAAAATTGGGGGGGAAGGGATGACCTCTTAAAGATGCCCAGAAAGGCTTCGGCCTTAACATCCCAAGTGCGTCACCAGCAACAGGCGCGAAGTGCCCCTCGAAGCGCTTCGGTCCCTCTTCGCCTCTACGCAAACTTGGCCCTCGAGGAGCTGAAGCCGAAGGGACTCAAAGGCAGACTTTGTTAGAAAAGGGCGAGCACCTGCGACAACAACCAACAGCAAGAACCAGACAGACAGACAGATGGCACAAAAGGGGGCGCGAGAATTGCGGTGGAATCGTTCCAAGATTTTGGCGTGCGGAGTTGTCGTGCCACGATGTGAGGATCGAACGGGAACACCCCCGCATGCGCGTGCGTGTGTATGTGAGAGAGAGAGAGAGATGCAATTCAAACCCACAACCCGAAACCTCAGTCTAAAGCTAAACTGCACAACCCACACTCTGGACCCACTACACCGTAAACCCCAGAAACCTAAATTGTCGCCGGGGCTCAAGTGGACGCGCAGTTCTAATCCCTCTCCCCGTGCCCACAGAGCCGCGAGCGAACGGAGCTCCTGAAGAACACAGGAAAGGATTTTGCTTTTGGGCTTCGAGCTTCAGGAGGGTTTAGAGTCAGGGGTTGAGGGTCTAGGGTTTTGGTTTGGGGTTCTCCATGTAGGCGTGCTTATATGCTTGCTACTGTTCCGTTGTGGGATCGTAACTATACGACGTGCTCAAGTTTACTATCTGCCCACCTGGTGTTTTGAGTGAGTTCATGGCCTCGGAAACTGTAGACTGTAGAGCTGGGGGAGGAATGTCCTCTAGAATCCCAAAAAGCCTTTTGAGAGCCCTTTGTGAGAGCTCCTTTGAAGGTTCCTTTTGTTTTCGAGAGCCCGGTCCTTGTCAGACACCCGGAATCCTGGCTGCGGCTTCCATCTTCGGGCTCGTGACTTGCGCTGGCTCGGGTTTGAGGGCACGGTGCTCCATGGGCCCGGTCGAAGGAATAGGAATAATAATAATAATAGTAATAATAATAATAGTAATAATAATAATAATGGTAATAATAGTAGTAATAACCATAGAATAATGTCGGATTTGTGAGAGCTCAGGCCCCCTTGGCGTTGACGGTTTGAGGTTGATGAGCTCAGGCCCCGCGCAGGATGGCAAACCAGTGACTCAGAATCTCGCAAGAAGGACGCCTATACAGTTTAGGGTTTAGGGTTTAGGGTTTAGGGTTTAGGGTTTAGGGTTTAGGGTTTAGGGTTTAGGGTTGTTCAAGCTTTCCAAGCACGCACTCACGAAGTCACCGGGAACCGCTTCAAGTGGGAAGGAGCCAGGTTTAAGGACCCTGAACTCCCCCAAAACCCTTCTACATCAGGCTTGCAAGGGAAAGCCCTGGCCCTACATGTACCGGAGATCAGGAACTAGAATAGTGTTCCTTTAAAAAGGTTCCTGCAAAGGGATACTATGAGGGTTATACTATAAGGGTGTAGTTTAGGGACCCTAAAACCCTAAACCCTAAACCTTAATAAGTAGATCAGGGCCCTTGGCCTTCGGGAGTTCCACAGAAAAGAGGGAGCCCCAAGGAGAAAGGGAGGCCCTTTTTTTAATTCGGGTCTTCTCCCAGGCTGCGTTCGAAGGGGTTGGAAGGGGTTTAGGGTTTAGGGTTTAGGGTTTGTCTGCTCAGGAGTCTCTACTACAAGATCTTCTAAGTGTCGAGCTGTCACGAAGAAGGTTTCGTATACTGTCCGTCTTCGGCTTGCCAAGAACGAACCAGCATCCTACCGTCCTACCCGAACCTGTTTCCTTCAGCCCAGTTTAAAAAACCTCTGAGCCCCAAGGAAATGGTTCGAAGATTGAGCCAAGGGTTCGGGAATCCCCGGCAGCATCTTCTGCTTCTGCCATGGCCTGAGTGCTTCACGAAGACAACGAAAGTGTTGGCGTTGTAAGACCAAACCGATAACGACGATGCCACTTTGAGTCATGAAAAGACGGTAAAACAGAGGATGATGAAGAAGAAGACAAGCAACTAAGTGCTGCGATTTCTTAAGCCGCCACAAGGGAACTAAACATGAAAATAACAGCAGGTCTGTATGATCTTAATCTTAGCTCAGCGGTCTCAATTCCCTTTTGTGGGAGCTGCTTCGAAGGGCAACGTGCGTGGTTTCGGTTCCAGAATGTCTGTCAATGTCTGGTGTTTAGTTGTGTGCGGATTTCGTAATTCCCTGGGCTTACGAGAGCTTCGGCATGTGTGTCGACCCCCAGATCTCGAATCCGCAGGGCGGCGTTGGTCTGTCTACCCGACAAAGGAACTCCAATAAAGGAGCCACCAAGACATCAGAACATCAGAACAGATACTGGCATTGTCTTCATTACCACAGCTGCGATTGTGAGCAACTTGTGCCTGCAGCTGCCAGCATCGGAAAGGGGACGCCGAAAGCTTCTCAAGTTTCTATCCCCCAAAATGGACCCAGCAGCTGCCGCAAATAGCCGCTGGGAAAGCGATCTGATGCCGCTAGGGGTGGATGGCGACCTGCAGAGGATGACGCGGATGTTGAAGGATGTGCCTCCATGAAAACAGACAGCAAAATAGTAGTTTCTATCACGGAATATCACAGAAAAAACACCAGGTATTATTTCATTTCTGTGCTGGCAAGTGGTCTCACCCTGAAAGACTTGCGATGTTACTGTAACGGGTGAACAATAACTCATACAACTCCTCAGCCCGAAAGTATGGATGCGATACATGGTGAGCAAGATCAGCACGATTTCTTCGATCTCCAAGCCGATCCGGCTGTCAGGAACATGAGAAAGACAGGTTCCCCATTGAAAGGACCCTGCCAAAATCATGTGGTTCCTTGCCGTATGGACCCCGGGCATTAAGAAACATCGCGGAGAAGTCGGCTTTCGATAATAGCATTTCATAGCAGCTATTGACTACCAGGCCCGTTGTGCAGAACCCATGAGCCCAAAAGCACCCATGATCATCAACGAGAAGGGATCGCCGGTCCCCTGGGGGAGGTGACGAGATGTGCCGAGGCCTGCCGGGGCTGCCTTGCATTGTCAGTGCTGCCACGGCTGCAGCGAGAGTGCCGGCCGCCCGTGTGCCTGTGCCCAAGCGTGTCGCCGGCTTTTCCTGCAACAAGGCACAAGAGATCCCCACACAGCACGTTTCAGTGCGCATGCTCGTGCCAGAGATGCTTGAATTGCGTGTGTGTGTGTGTGTGTGTGAGCAAGAGAGAGAGAGGGAGAGAGAGAGAGAGAGAGAGAGAGAGACAGAGACAGAGACAGAGACAGAGACAGAGACAGAGACAGAGAAAGAGACAGAGACAGAGACAGAGACAGAGAC